ACGAAGAATTAAGATTGTTTCTTTTCTTTTGAAATATTTTTTTTTCTATATTTTTACTCCCAAATTCTTTTATTAGAAGAGAGCTAACCTTTCCTCTCAAATTCTTATTAAAACAAAATTTATTACTTTTGTTATCTTACATGTTAGTACTATATTCCTTTTACTTTTGTGCCTATGAAATATTAACGACAATGATCTTTTATTTTTTAAAGAAATTATGTCAAAATTATGAGTCAGCTTGATAATGAAGGTTCGTGCTTTTTCTCTTATTGGATGCAAAAAGTTGTTATTCAGAACAGGAGAGAAAAGAATAAAGTCTAAAGGCGTTACATGGGTATGAAAGTGAGACTTTCATACATTTTATCAAATCTCAATCATTTTCTAGGTCAATAATTCATGGTCATTGATTGTCTTACACCTATGGGTGTAAACATGCCGAGTCGAGTTCGAGTATTGTTGAGCTCGATTCGAATTCGAAAACTATAAAAGTAAACTCAAAAATTCACGAGCTAAAAATTATCAAGCTCAGTTCAAACTGAAAATATATTACTGAAACTCGACTCGAACTCGAAAAGGCTCGAACACAAAAAAATTCTCGAGCTCGATTAAAGCTCAAGACTCGAACTCAATTGAAGCTCGAGTCAAGCTCGATTCGAGTTCGACATGCTATTTTTTATTTGCTGAAAACCCATCCCCTTTTATACACTCACTTTACCCCTTATTCCCCAAAAACCGCCGATGTGGATATTAAGTCACATGACCAACTCACCTTCCAAGCTTCTTCTCACTCTCATATTTGATCTCTGCTTCAAAACTTCCTCCCCTAGCTATGTTACTATATTTTTAAATGATACTTTCACTAGCTTGCACCCACAACAAAAGTACGAGAATTAAATTCCTCCCAAAAATAACAGTCCAAAATCCTGCACTGGAAGAGGAACCAAAACAGGATAGTCGGACCGGAATCTGGTTTCCGAAATAAAATGGAAAACCTGTTCAATAACACCTAAACACTTGAGACTAGTAAACAACAGCTGTTGGAAAACATTGGCACCAAGATGGACATAGATTTCACCTTTTCCTTCATCCCCCTCCCCTCACTTCTTCTTCGATGCTTCACTGGCCTTTGTCTTTTTCACTCCACGGATCTTCTTAGCCCTGTTCTTCCTTTCCTTCATTTGCTTCCTTGATTTCTCCACCTTGGTATTGAGCCCATTCCTGATTAGCCTGTATTTAGGCTCGTATTTCTTCGCATTCTCGACAGAATCATATATCAAACCAAATCCAGTAGATTTACCACCTCCAAAATGAGTCTGGAACTTGACACAAAGATCGAATTTGGATCCTTCACCTCATACATTCTACTAAGCTTCTCCTTCAGCTCAGGCTTGGAAACATTGGGCCTCCCAGGATGCAAAACATCAATGATAAATGATTTCTTGGAAAGTAGCTTAATTAAATGAACTTCCTTGTCCTAATAGTCGCTGCCTTGTCCGCCATGGCTAAGCAAAAATCTTCCTTCTTGGTTGCGACGCAGTGGAATCACCAAAGGGATACAAAATGCGGCAGCGGCTTTTAGAGATGTTACTATATTTTTAATTCTTGTTGTTTTGGGTTTTACTTGGTAAACATGATGCTCTAATATGTTTTTTGTTGATTAATTTTATGATAGAAAAACTTGAAGAAAAATATTAGTTTGGGTTTTAGTGCTTATGAGTTTGGGTACCTTTCACTCGTTTGTAGCTTGAAGTTGGAGTTTGTAAATATGGATTTTAGGTGTATTACTGTGGAAGAGAGCAAAGAAGAAACAAAGGTATGTGGGATACGTTTAGGTCTTTCTCGGTCGTCAAAGATGGTAGGTGAAGTGAATTACGCCACTGGTGGATGGTGGTCGACGTCTGTTACCTTGATGCGCATAATTTAACTCTTATCATATAATCGGATTAAGGGTTTAGGACTTAGGGTTTAGGGTTTAATATTTAGGGTTTAAGATTTAAGGTTCATTACAAATACATTAATTAATCGACTTGGTACTGATTTATGAGGTAAATACAATATATTATCTTGATATTAAATGCTCAAACCTTTGATATTTATGATATTTGAACCCGAAACCTCAAAATATAACAACAATTTAAAAAATTAGTTATTAAAAATATTATCATTAGAAATATATTAAATATTTGTCATTAGATAAATAATTTTTTTATTAATTTAAAATAAATATAAGAATATTTATTCAAAAATATTTTTTTAACCATTTTTAATTTTTCTATTGTTTGATTATTTTTTCTTATTTTTTTCTTATTTTTCTACGTTGTCAAGTACTTGTGCAATAAAGAGTCAAAAAAGAAAGAAAAAAATCAACCAAACACGTGTAATCTAACATGTGATTAATTAAATGAGTTTTTATTTTTCTTTTAGTAATATACAATGTAACAATTGGACTTGGGCTGATTAATTAAAAATAAATAAAATTTGAGGGTAGTTGTATTATAGAATTTTTAATATATTTTTAAAATTTTATAATTATGAATAATGTATTTTTAATAATGTAATTTTAAAAAATCTAAAATTATAATATAACATTTTTTCGAGCTGCTTACGAGCTTTTCGAGTCGAATATCGAGTAGTTTGTTTCGGCTCGTTAAGAACTCGAGTCGAGCTCGAGTCGAGTCTATTCGATCTGAGCATTTATCGAACCTTGATCAAATCAATCTCAAATAACTCACGATCTGTCTCGTCTCATTTACAGCCCAACTTACACAAAAAGAGTTTGAAGAAATCCCAACTCAATGAGGTCACGATCACAGTTAGGAGATAACATCAATAGGTTAAAAGTTCGAATTTTAACGTAAATTATAAAAATATTTTCCAACTTGAAATGAAAATGTGAGCAGTAGAGGTCAAAATCTGAGACCACAACACTCTCAATGTCTTGTTTGAATCAGATAAGCCGCAAAGTAAAACTCTTGTTTGTCCACTTGTGTTTCCCACGTCCTTGACTGACCCCATTTAGCGTGATTTTCAGAACCGGATTGGTTAACGAACCGGCCAAGCTATTGATTCATTAGTTTAATAGGTTGAATCGGTCTGATCGGTCGGAAGAATCGGATGACGTTATAATTATTTGAAAAATTAAATAAAAATACCAAAAATATTTAATAAAAAATAATTTTTTATATCACAAGTCATATTCAAAGCAAGTCATAACATATATAAATTAAAAACCATAAAATCAAGTGAAACAAAATAATTCAAATTAACTACAACATAATATTTAAGGTAAAACATATTAAATAATAAATATAATTATATAATTATAATTAAAAAAATAAATTTGGGGCTAAAAAAATCATAACAAAATGATATTGTTTGGTTTAATTTTTTTTAAAAAATAATCTCACATGGCTAAAAAAACATAGAAAAGCATCCCAAAAGTCTAAAGAGTAAAAATATGAGAACAAAACAATCCTACATTGCTAAGAAACATAGAAGAGCATCACAACTAACTTCTATAAATAATAGAGGTAATTTGACATTTAAAATCATGGAGCCTTTTGGTGAGCATTGAGTGAACTATTCTTTCACTTCAATCAAGCTCGAATTTTAGGCTTCAATTGAGCTTCTAAATATTTTTTTAGTTCAAGCCTTTTTTAGTTCAAGTTTCAATATTATATTTCGAGTTCGAGTTGAACTTGATAATTTTTAACTTGTGAGTTTGAGTGGAGTTGAGCTTACTTTTAAAATTTTCAAGTTCGAGTCGAGCTCAGCAATACTCGAGTTCGACTTGGCTCGTTTAACAAACGACGTTTGGTTTAATTTTTAAAAAAAAAAATTCCGATTTTTTCCGGTTTTCAGCCGGTCCGGTTCGAACGGTTCAGCGGTTCTGGTCGGTTCACTAATAGCGGTACCGGTTTAGATTGAACCGGACTAGGCAACGGTTCCCGGTTGAACCGTTTGAACCGACCGGTCCGGTTTTCAAAACAATGCCATTTAGTCTAGTAAACGAATCGAACGTTCAGCGAACTGTTAGTGAATCGTTCGGCGGGAAATTCGCTTATGTTCGTTTATTTATTAAATGAACGAACATGAACAAGATTTTGCGTTCATTTAATTAAATGAACGAACATGAACAGAGGGCTCATTCGTTCATTTACGTTCGTTTATTGTGTTCGTTTACATCCGTTCGTTTTTGTTCGTTCATTAGTGTTTGTTTATCATTTAAATGAACGAACATAAACGAATACGAACAAACTATATTTTTTAACGAACGAACACAAACAAGAAATTTTTTGTTCGTTTATGTTCGTGTTCGTTCATTTGTTCGGTTAAAGTTAAACGAACGAACATGAACATACCCGTTCGTATTTGTACGGTTCGTTTACATGCCTAACCCCATTGTATCTTTGGCAATGAAAAAAAAGGGGCAGAGAAATGACGATTTTTTTCCTTTTCCCTTGCGCACTTTACCTATACATGAGCATGACTTTGTCCCAGCTCAGCTTGTTAGTGCTGGGGAAAATTATTAATGCTCTGGCTCTCGCCAATTTGTTTGTTATAGTGTTGTCAGGAATTTAAATTATAATTACGGTCATGCTTTTAGTTACTGTACGTTTATTGTGACTATAATTTTGAAATAACGGTTTCAAATGATACTTTTACTGCAATATAACTATCATTATTTCCATAGTGGAATGCTGTTTAAATTACTGGCGCTGGATTTGTTAAGTTACAGCTATGGATATATATGCATAGTATGTTGAGGGGGAAAGCTGCATTATATTATTTCAATTACAGTTGAAACCCTGTTTTATAAATAGTTAGAATGATCAAAGATTATTTTGTTTTATTGATATGTGAATACTTTTTTTTTTTAAATCTAGTATTACAGAACAACAACCACAATGGAGATGAAACAATTAATGCAATAATGGAGCTCCAAAAGTTTTATTCTTTTTCTTTTTGCTTTGCTCCCACTACTTCATATCATATCCCCCTTTTATCAAAGTTTAAAAAAGCCATAATTTTTAAAAGGGATGAATATGGCTTTCAAAGGTTGAAGAGAATATGCATGGATCTCATCTTTCATGATTCCCTTCAATAGTTGCTCTAGGATTAACACTTTTCTTCCCTGCAAAGTCATTCAATATCATAACCATCCATTGATTGAAGATGGCTGACAAATGGCCTGTATTCCGACACCCAAAAAATCTCTTGTTTCTCCTCCTCCGCCGCCACCGTCTTCGTTCTGCATGCGTCGGCGTTTCGTGGGGTACATTTGCAGTCGGTTCAAAGTGGAAATATCATTTGCTGTTGTCGTTGTTGGTATATTTGAGACATACAGATCACTGTACTTGTTCCCGTCTTGACTGTTGCTACACTTGGTGCCGAAGCTTCCTAGGAACGATGTCTCGGTCGATGTCGCACCGATTTGGGCAGCTTTCTGCAACAAAGCCGTGGCAGACATACTGAAAGATGGTGTTTGATGAGACTGGTGTTGTGTGCTAAACAATGAAGGGACACTCACAAGTTGAGGTCTATTTTCCTTCACATTACTCACAGGAAGTGAAACGCTTGTTGTCACCTGGTGATCATCAGCATTACCTGATGAGACCATATTCCCAAACACCCAGTTTAGCTGATAATCCAATGCAGGAGGGTTCGATGTCGTCGAAACCAGAGGATCGCTGTATATGGATCCCGGATTCAAAGAACCGAATTGCTGAATCTCTTGGCCCTGAGATGCTTGTCCCATCCACAAGGAAAATCCACGTCTAGTTTGGTCTATTGCATCATCGTTGCTTGAAGAAATATTTGGTTTGAAAACAGTGGAGAAATCTAGAGGATTCCCCATAAGTTGGTAATTGAAATTACCGGCGGCAGCCAAACTGTGCATGCCGGAAGCTGCATTAACTCTAGCTGTTTCCTCGGCCAAGGCATCACAGAAAGCCCTATGCGTGATGAAACTATCTCTTCTGCATCAAATAGTTAATAACCAAGTTCTAGTTAATCAGTATGATGCCTTACACAAAGAATCAGCATCACTTTGATATGGTGGATAATTATATATTTACCTTGAGAATAGGGTACCACAGTCGCATTTGTACTCCCTGGTGCCGCAGGTTTTGGAGTGTGCTTTCCAATCAGACTGCACAGCGTATCGCTTCTCGCACTTCTCGCACTTCCACTTCTTCTCCCCGTGCTTCCTGTAAAAGTGTTTCTTTATTCCGGTTAAATCGCCGAGAGCCCTCGAAGGATGGTGATGGACGCAGGTCTTTTCGGGGCAAACATACACGCGCTTCCTCACCTCCTTGGTACTTCTTTGCTTCAGCTTCCATGGAAGGTTATGGCCTCTGCGATGGAGTTGAAGGTTTTGGTCTCTTTGGAAACCCTTACCGCATATTTCGCACAGGAATCTGTTGGTTTCCATCAGAGTCTTGGGGGACAAAGCTATCACTTCAGCTTCAGGATCTGGTATTAAACATAACACAAATAGACCGTGAAAATGATCCTCAAAAGAGAAAACTATGCAAATATATAGTCTTATAGAAGAGAGTACTTGCCTGGTGTTCCTGGAAGGTTTCTCTTCTTCTTCGCAACACCTGGAGGATTGGATCCAGATACAGGATTCATCATAAAACCATTCGAAATCGATTCTTCTGCCATCGTTTCTAACATCTTTGTTGTTAAAGCTTAATACGAAAAAAAAATAAAATCCCCAGAAAAACTAAGAGTTCTTCTTATGGTTTTCTCAACCCTAATAACATAAGCTAATATATGCGAAGGATTTGATCTCTCTCTCTCTCACACAAATACGCAGTACTGATTTAATTATAATTACTTGCTTTTGAGTGGAATATAATAGTAATATATATGTATTTATATATATTTTAATGAGAGGCGGTGAAAAGTTAAAGTTGGGAGGTCAGGGAAGAGGTTGAAGAAAGAGAGAGCGGGTGGGCAAGAACCCCAAAGGTGCATCATGACACATATGATGAGGTCCTAAGGAAGTTAATCTCAGTTGGAATCATTATCTCATAATTTGTTTGCTTTTCATTTTTTATTACCAATCTGCAATTCTTTTATCTCCATTTCCATATATGTAATATAACGTACTACTACATGTATAAGCTGTTTCAATTATTTCGAAAAAAAAACCTTGAAGAAATGTACGAGGAGTACACGACTGTTCGACCGACAACCGACAACGTACTATTTATTATTTTAGGCTGTATAATATTAGTTTCGTGTATATTGTTGATTGAATTATCGTGACATATTTAATCATTTGAATTTTTAGAGAAAAGTAACTAAAAAATCATCAGAATGATCATAAATATTTGATAACATGGAAGAAGCCCTAGGGTGATTTAACTAGTACTTTGGGTTGCTTTCCTTTAAAGTGAATCATAAAAGCATAGTAAGGAATTTTATTTATCAACAAATTCCAAAACAAAAGTTGGTTTGGTATATATATTGTCCAAGTGTAATCAGGGTGGATCGAGGAGAAGGTTGGTAAGGCAAGAGCGATCGTTTTTGAAAATTTCAAAATTTTCATATAATTTAAATACTCTCTTTATACTTTTTTTTATTAATAATATGTTTTTAATTCTTAAAACTTTATAAATCCACTCATAATATAAAATTTTACATCCATCATTGCTTGCAATCATCGACTTAATCATTTTCTCATTAAAAAAAAAATAATATAAATCATAGAGGGGGAACGTATATTTGTGCTGTTTCCATCAAAAAGATGAATTCAAACAATAATGAAAGAAGTGTCTCTAAATGAATGAAGGTGACATGCAAAGAGAGATGCCAAACTTATCGTCAAACACATTTTTTCTTCCTCATTTTCCACGAAACTAAAAAGAAAAAAATCTTTCCAGTCTTCTGATTTAGCTAAAATTGGCTTAGTTTTAGGGTTACCCCAATTATTGATCACTGATTAAATTAAGTACAGGGAGTTGTTTTTTAAATATGTTGACGAAAACGGGTAAAGAAAACGAAAGAACACGAGAATTTTACGAGGTTCGGCAATGTGCTTACGTCCTCGGTGCCTAGGCGGCGCTAGAAGTTTTATTCAATGATATTTTAGGTCTAGGTTACATCTCTATTTATAATAGAAAACCCTGGTACATAAATTACAAAATCAACCCTGTACCGTACCGCGGGGGCTGCGCCCCCACACCCCCAACCCACATAATTCGTAACCCCACAACGAGACTTTTTATGAGCCATACATAACAAATCTCCACCTTGGCGAATATCCTGCCCCTTGGAAACTTCAATGTGGGTTGGGTTACCTTGCTTCTTTAACAACTCGAAACATTCAACAAGTCCAAGCAATGCTTGAACTTGTCTGTCGTAACTGGCTTGGTGAACATATCAGCGGCATTCTCATCAGTATGTACCTTCTGAAACAAAACCTCTCCAGATGCAACCAACTCTCTGATCTTGTGGAAGCTTACATCAATATGTTTAGTTCTAGCACGATACACCTGATTCTTAGCCAAGTGAATAGCACTTTGATTATCACAAAGCAACTGAACTCCACCTTGTTGAACACCCAACTCCTTCACTAAACCAGTAAGCCATAAAGCTTCTTTTGCAGCTTCAGTCGCTGCCATGTATTCAGCTTCAGTTGTAGATAGTGCCACGACAGATTGAACAGTAGACTTCCAGCAAATAGGCCCTCCACCAAGAGTAAACACATACCCTGTCGTAGATCTTCTATTATCCAAGTCACCTGCATAATCTGAATCCACATATCCTACAACCAAAGGATTATCCCGCTGACTCCCAAAAACAATTCCATGTCCCACAGTACCCTTTAAGTACCGAAAGATCCACTTGACTGCATCCCAATGTTGCTTACCAGGTTTAGACATGTACTTACAAACTTGACTAACATCATGAGCTAAATCAGGACGAGTACATACCATCGCATACATCAAGCAGCCAACAGCATTAGAATACGGAACCTTTGCCATATTTTCAGCTTCCTTATCTGTCTTAGGGCACTGTTCTGATGAGAGCTTAAAGTGATTCGCCAATGGAGTGCTAACTGGTTTCGCGCTGCTCATCGCAAACCTTTCTAGCATTTTCTCAACATAACCCCGTTGAGATAGCCGCAGTTTCCTTGAGTCTCTGTCCCTGCAAATTTCCATTCCAAGAATTTTCTTTGCAGCACCTAAATCTTTCATATCAAATTCGTGACTCAATAAAGTTTTCAAACCGATAACATCATCCATGTTCTTCGCAGCAATCAACATATCATCAACATACAGTAATAGAAAAATAAAAGAACCATCATCAAGGCTCTTAACATAGACACAACAATCATACTCACATCGGTTGTAGCCAATCTTGATCATATAGGAGTCAAACCGTTTATACCACTGTCTCGGAGACTGTTTTAACCCGTACAAAGATTTCTTCAATCTGCAAACTAAATGCTCGTTTCCAGGTTGAGTGAAACCTTCAGGTTGCCGCATGTAGATCTGCTCCTCTAAATCACCATGCAAAAAAGCAGTTTTAACATCCATCTGCTCTAAATGCAAATCCCAACTAGCCACCAATGCAAGTACTGCTCGGATTGAAGTGTGCCTGACCACAGGAGAAAAGATTTCATCATAATCAACTCCTTTCTGCTGTGAAAAACCCTTCGCTACCAAACGAGCCTTGAACTTCTCCCCCTCTTTTTCTGTTACTGCTGGTTTCTTCTTATACACCCATTTGCAACCAATCGGCTTCTTACCCTCAGGAAGGGGAACTAACTCCCATGTGCGATTGTGATTCAAAGACTCCATCTCCTCAACCATGGCTGCCATCCACTTGTCGTTTACCTGACTAGTAACGGCATCATGAAAAGTAACTGGATCATCACTGCTAACAGTAAGTGCAAAAGATACCAAGTCTTCAAAACCCAATCTGTTCGGAGGCTTTATATTCGTCCGTCTCACCCTGTCTCTGGCGAGACTATAATCCTGCAAATCATCCGTAGTGGAACCACCAGAAGTCGGTTGAGAAGTTTCTGGTTTCTCAACTGGAAACTGCTCGAAATCTACCACTGTCGTGTCTTGCTTCTGCTGCAACATAGACTGTTCATCAAAAACGACATCTCTACTAATCACAACTTTCTTCGCAACTGGATCCCAGAACTTGAATCCTTTGACACCTTTCTTGTAACCCAGAAAAATGCACTCCTTCGATTTTGCATCAAGTTTGGATCTCTCATCAGCAGGTACATGCACATAAACAGGACAACCAAAAATCCGTAAGTTATCAAAACTAACATCATGACCAGTCCATACCTCTTCTGCAACTTTCCCAGCCAGCGATGCCCTTGGCGATCTGTTGATAAGGTAACACGCCATGTTAACAGCCTCAGCCCAAAAGTGTTTGGGAAGCCCCTCATTCAACCATAAACATCTGGCTCTTTCATTCAACGACCTGTTCATTCGTTCCGCAACACCATTCTGTTGTGGTGTCTTGCGCACTGTAAAATGCCTCTGAATCCCATGCTCCTTACAGAATTGTAGGAACTGTGAATCTGTGTACTCCGTACCATTATCAGACCGCAAACACTTGATTTTTCATCCTGTTTGGTTTTCTACCTCAGCTTTCCACAGCTTGAACTTCTCAAAAACTTCAGATTTCTGTTTCAAAAAATACACCCAAACTTTCCGTGAAAAATCATCAATAAAAGTAACATAGTACCTAGATCCACCCAAAGATGATGTCGTGGAAGGCCCCCATACATCAGAATGCACATAATCAAGAATCCCTTGAGTTGTGTGCTTCGCAGTCTTGAAACGGACTTTAGTCTGTTTACCAAGAACACAATACTTGCAAAAATCGAGCTTACAGCTTTTGACACCATGCAACAAGTTTCTCTTGTGTAATTCTGCCATACCACGTTCACTAAGATGAGCAAGGCGCATATGCCACAATTTTGTCGTATCATCACAGGACTCAACAGAGTGAACTCCACCTGCAACGGTACTCCCTAACAATCTGTAGATATTCCCTGCAGTCATCTTGCCTTTCATCACAGTCAATGCTCCTTTAACAATCCGAATGGTTTCCCTATCCTCGTCAGCCTTAGGGATAAAACCATTCTTGTGCAAAGTGCCCAAGGAAATCAAATTCTTCTTCAAGTCTGGGATATGTCGAACACCACTCAACGTCCGAACGGAGCCATCGTGCATCTTAATTCTGACATCACCAATACCAACAATATTGCAACATCGATCATCACCCAAATAAACCGAACCAGAATTAACCGGCCTGTATGTCGAAAACCATTCCCTATTTGGCGTGATGTGATAAGAACATCCAGAATCAAGAATCCAAGCATCCGTCAATTGTGTCGTTGAAATAGAAAGCATATCACCCTCACTGCAATCAGAAGTATCATCCTCGACCACGTTCACAGACTTGGATGAGCCATCACGCTTCTCATCGGTCTACTTTTTCAACTTCGGACAGTCTCGCTTCATATGTCCCGCCTCCTTGCACTTGTAACAGTGAATCGTCTTCTTATCCCTGGATTTGGATCTGGAATTCCGCTTCCCGGACCCTGCCTTCTCTGGCTTCCGTCCACGATCTCGATTACCCTTGACATATAAGCTATCGGCTTGAGAGCTTTCCCCTGCATTCTGCTTCCGCTG